ATACTAACTTGATTCGCTGATACGTACAGTTTGGTAGATTTCATTTCGCCCAGCACAATAAATCACTCTTCTAAAACTACCTTTTAAATCAACTGTGCAAGTAAGGGACGCATTTCCTACACTGTAACTCGCCTAACAGCTTCATTTTCTAAGTTTTACTGGAATCATGAAGTATCACACACGTATATTTGACATTCCATAGTATCCTACATTTATTAACGATTCATTGAACTATTGTTATTATTATTACCGTAAATAAAGAAAAACATATTTTCGTTACAAATTGTATTTCTTTCAATATGCTATTTTCGTAATATTTCTACAATAATTTTTGCGTTCAATATTTGTAGCAGTATCTGAAATAGGACAATTTTCTCGAATTACTGTCTCTTAATATCGTATTACAGTAATTGTACTTTCCTTTCAGGTCTATTATTTATACCTATACTAACGTGCATTGGAAGATGGCATAATTTGTGAATCTTGGCAATTTATGAATAGAAAACAAAAGAATGACGTGGAAAGAAGAAAGGTGGGTCAGAAATGTTCGTTGTGGTTACCAATAGATATTGCGGAATGCGGTGTAGGGAGTGACTAGAATTGTGCCGGGAAAGTGTTGCAGCAAGTGAAAGGGGATGAAGAGAAGGGGCGAATAAATGAGAACGATAAAGAGGATTCGTTCGTGCGATGCTAATCCCTAACGTGCAAGCTGTTCTATTCGATATGCGATAAACGAGTGCTTCCACTCCAAATGGAACGTATTTTATCCTCGATATAGCTTTAAATTGGGAATATTTAAACTTTGATTTCAATTATATCACTACTTTTCATCGTTTTATTCAATTCGATATTCGTACGGCACCTTTTCTCTTGCATTTTAGTTTACTTTTTGAATTATTTTTCCAGATATTTTGGGATATTTTCGGGATATATGTTTGATTTCATAAATACAATTAAATTAATGATAACTAAATTCACTAAAAAAATAATTAAATTAATACATATATTAGTGTGTTAATTAGATTAATATAGTTAATTACATAATTTAAATAATTAGATATTTAGATAATTCATTAAATTTTATTAATTTTTTTAATTCTTTCCATTTTTATTTTATCCTTACTTTATCTTGCTTAACAATAATAATAATAGAAACCTTTCATTAATTCTTATTATACAATTTCTCTATCTTCTTTGAAGAATTGAAAAAAGTAATTGATAAAAATTTTCTAAAATAATTTCCAACAATACAAAATAGAGGTAAAACAATTTTTGTATATTTCTACAATTAATTAACAACATCTAACATAAACTTTTGGTATGCTAAAATATATATAATTATTACTATAATAGTAAAACTTTAATCTGTATTTTCTTCTTTTAATTTCTGTTGTTTCCCTGTTTATTATTTTTATTTATTTATATTTCAGGCGAGTCTCATTATTCAATCAAATATTCAAAATTCTCATATTTTCAATGCTATTGGCGTCTACGTTTCTGTGAAGTTTATAATATTTCGAATAATCTGGATTCTAAAGGCATAACTTTCGTGCATCTCTGCGATCCAGACGAGTCGTGAAATCCATTTTGTGCTTTCTACTGTGCTCTACCGGAGCCCACGATGAGAAAAGGGAGTAATTTCCACTCGAGACGAGTTCCACCCTAACTGCTTGGCTCTTCTCGGTTTAACGAGGCAAGTGGTCCACCTAAACCGCAAAAACCTTCCCTGAACTCTTTACAGAAACCCTTTGTAACTTTTTTTCCAGCTATTTCGGAACACAAAACGAACTAATGTATGCTTTAAACCGTTGCATTCTTCCACGGAAACGTTTTAAAAGACTCTTACATCGCCAGTGTTAGATGACATCATTGTCAAAGTATAGAATGTATTCAAACCATGTAAATACAATTAAGGTGTATTAATTATTTATTTACAAATTAATGTAGTAAATATTATAATTTTGTTAGTACTGATCACGAATCGTTTGACTACTAATAATGAAATCATAGTAGAATTTGAAAAGGAAGAAAAGAGTAAAAATTCTTATACTTTCTACAATTGTTCTTTTACATATTGATTAGTTATAGCAATGGTTTCATTACAAGATATAACAAGTGAAATTGGTAGATTGTTGCCACTGCTAATTACTTGACATAATTCAATTCTTAAAAATTAAATACAATTTTAATAATATGTAAACTCTACATTAAATTTTATATAAATAAATCAAGGAAAGATATTAGAATCGTAAGAAAATGCTTTTATAATGAGGAAAATATTGTTCTAATTTAAGGTATCAATATTTATATGTAGAAAAATATTGTTTAGATATATGATAAAAATAAAATATAAAATAATATACGTATAAATTTGAATAATCAATATGAAGTGGTAATATGTAACTTAAATCATTTAAACACTTCAAAATTGAAATTTCATAGTTACGGACCAAGAAAGACTTCATATTTCACTCTGGCAACGTTAGAGGCAACATTTCTTTCATGACATGGCAGAAAAATTGTGATGTAGTCAATTTTTATTCGCTATGCTCATTATAGACATCCTCGAATCTTCATTCATATATAAAACAAGATATGCAATAGAATATTAGACAATTTTTATTTAAATATTATTAAAATGAACTTATCATTAGAACCTAAATATCTCTACTGATCATTAACGGTTGCAAAAATAACTAAAAAAGTATTACTTATGAAAAGAAACCAATTGAACAAAAAACATATTTTAAATAAATAAAATCTTTCATTCAAGTAAGAAAAATATAACAATCTTTTTATCTATTATTGAATTTTATATTTTTTGATATCTCTTAATGAATTACTACTTTCTTTTTTAATTATCTTTACAAAAATGTTAACCCAACTTTTTTTTACGTATGTAACGTATTTAATATATAATTTTCCAATTGTTTCATTTCTCTCAATTTCCTCGTACAAATCATCTTATAATATCTAAGACTCAAGTTACAAATGGTTTAATATCATTTTATGTATATCTTTTCCACGAAATCAATTCATTTTTCTTCAACTGCTTTGCTTCCCATTCATCGTTAAACATGCTTCACTACCCATGAATAGTAACTCAAATGAACCACTGTATTAAAATCATTTGAACAGTTTAATTTATTAACCATACGTCGGTAACTGCTGCTCGTAGTTAATCACTAACGTATCTCTCAATAGATGTCTCGCAACGGATTATAAGTTGCGCGGGTATCGAAATTCTCCATACTCGAGAAAATCACGCGACGAGTTTAACCTAAGTAAGTTTGCGAAGCGCTTAACGTGCCTTCCATAATCCACGCCCTTCGTGGATCAGGAGAGGTGTCTCGTTCGACGACACTTTTGCTCGCCCTCGATTAAACTCGAGATTAAACCCACTTAAGCATAGCCCCACAGACGTGTATACACCAAACGAACGACTATATATGTTTGCTCGACGATACTGCATTCACTCATCAAACGTCTGCGGTCTATATATAGAATAAAGCCCGCCATACTTTTTATGTGCATTTTGTCCTATCCGACGTCGATAACTTTCGAGAAACAACGGGACAGATTTCTTCTTTAAGATGTTACCGAAGATATAAGATGAGAAATTCACTTGTGTGCAAGGTATTTTTAATTCTATCTCAACTTCGATTTTTTACTGTAATATTTCGATACGAATTTTCCAAGTATTATTCTTCTTGTAATAACGTTGTACTTTGTGGAATTAAAATTCTTTGTAATATTCTTTAATATATAAAATTGCTGATAATATTTACCACAATATCAAATAATATAATTAATTTTACTATTTGCTTCACTTATTTATGAAGTAATATATAATATAGTACTGTTGCTCTATTTCATTTTTTAGGTTAATAACAAATAACAAAAATATATTAACAATACAAAAGGTACAAGTTAATTATTCAAGTTAAGGTATAATATGAATAATTTTTAATATACATTTAATATAAATTTTATATTTTGTATATATTTTACATTTAATATATATTATATATTTTTAGTTTACGTATCTTTTATAATTTATGTATATTACCAGGTAAGCAATATAAAATTGAAATCGTCGTTTTAACAAAATATTAATCGTAAAATTTTTAACAAAATATTAAAAATTCCACAGACTACCTAGTAACTGGAAATTCGTCCCTGTTGACCGAAGATTTCGTACGAAGCAAGCGTAATTAGTCGAGCGAAATAAATAAATAAGCCGAAGAAAGATCGTGGGACGATGTGTAAAGCAAGGGTCGTGGACCCGCATTCATTGGCCAGTGCGGAATTAAACGAGTACGAAGCGGGCAAAGATCTCAGAGAGCGCCGATTAACAATAAGTTCGTCAAGTTAAAGACTGACTACGTCATTCTTATAATTCGACACAATGGTATTAATTTTGCAAACAATATAAATTATAACTCAAACTTTCATCGTGAAATTAACATCATTTTTAACATTCTTGACACGCGTAAGATATGATGGCAAAGCGTATTTAATTTTATATGCCTTTATATTTTCATTGTAGATTTTATTGGTATTATGGATGAAAGGTTTTACGTAGACCATTAATCATTTTTGAAATGTATGTATAGCTCTCAACATACTTCTTTTTTAATTAAAACACTTTTATTTTGTTGAATGCTAGCTATTCTTTATAATTTTTGTAGTACTATGAGAAAATTATACAAAAGTCGCTAAGTTATATTTATCGACACACGGTTTCTTAAAACATGTCATTTTCAAAACTGCTTTTACTATTGTAGGATAATCTTTCGAGGAATAAATTTTTTCTGAGAAGAAGAATCAAAACAGTTTGCTGCAAGGTACATTTTATCATCGTTATACCATTTTCATTTACAAGTACGTTAAGATGAAAAAGAATGTAAACAATGGTATACTAAACGTGATATACTAACGTTTCAAAGCAAGTTAAGAGGAAACTGCTTTGTAAAATCGCATTTAAAATCACGTAAATTTTACAGGAAGCTATTACGGAGAGTCATAAGCTGTTCATGCCCGCTGTATACTCACTTGATCGCATATGATGTCCCATTTTTTCTCGTTGTCGTACTGCTTCAAAAGCTTTGCTTTGTCCGGAGGCAGATCCATTGAGGCCTGAAACACAGAAAAAGATCGAGGTTCCACTTTAATGTCTGACATTGCGACGGCTGTGGCTTTTCCATCTTTTCTTCTTTCTCTTTTAGCAAATGCTCGCATGACGCAGAAACAAGTCGTGTCCCGAGAATAATTCGTCTGAAATAATTAAGTTGCACCCATTCGCGTTTCACCATTTATAATAGAGCAAATAACGAAGATTGTCTGCGTAATTGCGAACATATTGCAAAGGTACATTAATGCAAATGAAAATATTACTTTTTAACATTAATATACTTGACTTGAAGAGTCGAAATGTTTGCAATTATCATTTACTAAGAATTGGGATTAACGTTTAGAAATTTGCAATTCACTTTTATGAATAATTGCAATTAAGAGTTTGGAGAAGTAGAAATTAACATTTTTGAACACTTGAAAGAAAAATTTTTGGATATTTGTAACGAATATTTTTAAGATTCGGAAATTATCATTTGTGAACATTTGTGATAACTTATTTCTATGTTTGGAGTTAAAATATTTATACAGTTGAATTTAACAGTTTCCAACATCTGCGATTAATATCTTTGAACATTTGTAATTAACATTTTTTTAACACTTGCAACAAATATTTCGTAATGTTTTTTTAATTGAAAATTAGTTTTAATATTTTTATAAAAACAATTTTTCATTTTAAAAAGTAATGCATATCTCATTATAAAGTGTGTCATTAAAACGTGTTTTGCGTTATACAACAAATGACTAATTGTAAGCTTACGTAAAATACCTTGAAATATATAGCTTTAGATAAGAATTTTCAGTTATATCTGGTTTGCAATAATTAAGATATTCGTAACGTCCAATTCGTGTCCTTCCATTGTATTTTTATGGACTAGTAATAGTTTAGTTCAAACAAATTCTAACAAAATATTTAGTTTATAGACATATTAGTCTGCAAACAAAATTTGTCATATTCTTTGTTAATTTTTATAAACACTGAAACCAAACAAGTTCGTACTTCCTCTTCTTCGTATTTTTAATATCAATATATAAAAATTTTCGAGTGTTCAAATGATGTATTTCTCATATTATTTATAACTTTTCTTACAAACTAAATTGTTTTAGTACCTTACGACATATATTTATTCAATTACAATATAATGCTATAATGAAAAAATCATTTTGAGAATTACTATCACGTTCAAAAAATACAGTTTAATTATAAATTATTAATTAATATAATTAAGTTAATTATACAATTATTTCACTAAAAAATATAAATAATATAAAATGCATTTCAGCTTTCCATTCATCTAAAATTTAAAAATTTTACTTTGTACTTTTTATTGTTCTCTTCTTTAATAATAAGAGTTATTATAAAAGGAATATGACCAAAAAAGAAAAAAAGGAGAAGAAAAATGAGCTATGTATTTATTTATTAATATAAAGATTTTATTTCATGATTTCTCTACACTTAAAATCTAATAATAAATAAATAAATTATTAACTAATACATATAATCTGTTTCAGAATCAATTATTAAAAATATCAAATATACTAATATAAATAAACGATTAAATTCATTCTATTAAAATCCGTATATTAATTATTCAAATATTCGAATCTAGAGATTTAGTGAAGTCACCACAACTGTTCGTGTCAAAGTAATGAAGTCACTAGTGGTAAAAGAATTGATGAACGAGCAGCTAAAGGGGACTGATAATGTCAGATAACCTTCACTCTGACTACTTCCAAATTCTGCGTTGTGGATGATTCACAGTAATTTTACGAATAATATTAAAATTCATAAAGGTTTCAGTAAAATGATAGTATTCAAGCTGTCCTTGGATACCATAACCTATAATTGTTTCACTACGCGTTCCCTGACGAGTTTCTTCCTTTTCTTTTTTTAACGTTACATAACTCGATAAGTGGTATTCATTCCACCAAATACATATTTCGTCCATTTTTAGGCGAATATAATATTCAATGATAATTTAAAAACGTAAGAATATTAATGCGATACAACCACACTTTTAATATTTAATTAAATTTTTTTTTTGTATCAGGTTTGTAGAAAATATGAATTTTCGAATTCAGTATGGATCACTATAGTGTTTGAATAAAGTAACCTTCAAAAGACCTTCAAAAGTATGTGCACTGTAACTCATCGAAAACCAAATTATCGATATGCGAAAATGTTTGACTATATTGAGCCATTTGCGATAAAATGAAGTTCGATAACGGAACCAAGGACTTCTTTCAACGAAAAATAAAAATGCAGAATTACCAACAGTGCAAAGTATGTCAATGTAACAGAGTAATATACAATTATTTTCATTTGACTTTTATTTAACTTAGTTTGTAATTTAATTTGTAAAATTAAATATAATTTGTATATATGTAGATATCGTCTTTTCAAGTCAAAATATGTATTCGTTTGCAAATTAATAGGAAGAATTTAGAATATCCATTGTAACCTTTTTAATAGCGTACAATGCTTAGTTGGATAGCAACGGTAGTAGTAACGGTAATAGTTACCATTATTAATTCGATACTAAAATGGTATCGTTTGCAAGAAGTGTTTAAGGTCCAAGAAATAGCAGTCATATTCTCCTTCACATTCTCTATGCAATTAACAGTGTGTAAAAATTGACCATGTTTATAAATATTTCGAATATCACAAGTAACAGGTACTACATTTCATTTTATTTTATTAAAGAAATAAATTTTATTTTATTTAAGAAATATTTTCAGCAATATTTGTGCCAGTTTAAGTGACTGCTTTCCCGACTAACATGAATTCAATATTCATGTTATCTTAATGGTATGAATTTGAATGGTACAATTACATGACTAGTTCATACCGATTACTATGATTTATTGACTAGCATATCAAATTGCTTCTCATGAAGGTATAGGAGGAAACGAAACAGCCGATTATAGGAATTGAAAATGCACCAAAAACTGTTCAAATTTCATTTTTATTCTACAGTTTATCCCTTGAACTCTTTTTTTCCATTTATTTATCAATGTTTCTGAGCGAATCTTGTAAAATGAAGTTAACAAGTGACAGACATCGAACTGTATTGTTTCATCAGCGTTGAGCTAATTTCGCTTATGTTTTCTTTCCAAACAGGCTCTGCCTCCTGTTTTCTTGCTTTTTTCTTATTTGCAGAGAACGTCCTATTTTTAATTCATCATCATAATTTTTTCATTTTCTTTTTGTATTGTTAATGAAATATTTTAAAGTAAATTTTATGGAACATGATTCTTAGTACTATTTTAGGCAGATTAAGAACTATATTTTTGTTAATTTCTGTATTAGATCATTAGGTATTAGATTTTATTATCTTCAGTCTATGCTTCAAAATTATACACTATTTTAAGGAATTTGTACAATGAAATAACTTCGAATAATTCGAATTTTGTTTTTCTTCTCTATAAATATTGTTTAGCAGATCATGTTCTTTCCTAGATGAAATAATTTATTTAACGATGTAAGAATTTTTAATAACATTGAACTCATTTATTTAGGAAAGGTCTTATTTTTATAATTTAGGTAAATTTTCCAAATAAATATAGAATTTATTTTCCAAATTTTAAAATACATTTTACATTCGATTTGATTTCGAAATAATGGAATAATTAATTTCTTGTTATTTCACTTTTTCATTGAGATATATTACTCTTGCAAGCTCTTAATTGTAACCTATAGTGTTTTATCATGAAATTCAAAAGAATTCGGTAAATTCAAAAATATCAAATGTGGAATAAAATATTAATATAAAGTAAATGGGCTCCAAAGGCAGTAATTACAAAATCTTCTTTCGTCTTGAAACATATGGTTAGGTTTTGCATACTACGATCAAAATATTCAAAATGATCATCATATTTCGATAAAACGATAAAATAAAATAAAAAAATGCTATTATTACGTTATACACTTCTGTTTAAAACATCTTTTCACATAACAAATAATTAAAAAATAATTTCACGTGAAAAAAATTAAACGAATCACCGTGTATATCTATATCGTCCATATTTAAAAAAAAAATGTCTAACGTAAATTTCGTTTTCTAGCTTATGCATGACTTTTCGTGTACCAAAGGAGGAAGCGAGGGCCTATGGAACTTAGGCTGTTTCTCCTAACCTCAACTGAGAAACAGATGTAAACATCGCGTAAGTAATGCCGCGCCAGTGGTACACACGCGAAAAAAAGATGGCAAAGGAAGTTGACGCGAGAGTAATGTACAGTCGTAAAGTGCACGTCGTCGTGGCCAGCGACGAGCATAGTCGACGAATAATTATCAAAGAGCGGATGCGGAAGCCACGAGTGCATGACATCACTACTCGCGATACATATACATTGCATATATAGCGCTGCCACTGAACGTTAGATCATGCGATAGCGCGATGTACGTGTTCCAGGCCAGGAATTACATAAATCGTATGTTACACGGCCAGTTTCGATGGAAGTACTTTAAGCGAACTTGATAAAATATATCATTACGCGGTTATTGGATATTATTAGGCACAATAATGAGTGACAATTGAACAGGGTAATACACGGATGGATTCAGGAGGTAAAAGTTTGCGATTAAGACTTCAGAGCTTTTAGGTTATAATCTCTCTTACAGGTTGAAGTAATTATTCCTTTTTTTCTTGCAGTGCGGCGTGCAAACGGGGCTTTAAGTATGAGTATGCATAATGTTTAACGTCGAAGCTGGCTACGTTTATCAAACACGGAAATGTTCTGTTTCTATGAATAAATATAAGCATACATGGGATATTAGTTTCATCTTGCTATTTCTTAAGAAGTATCTAATTAAGGAATTAGTAATTACCGTAAAAATATTGTTCTATTTAACATAGTTAATACTTCCCTTTTAACAATAATTCTTTTAGCAATATTGCTAAGCAACTTTTTAATTAACTCATTTCCTATTGTGTACCCTTCTGTTTTTTGTTTTACAAGAAATTGATCTTTGTTTCTTTTCATTTCAATGATTCCATGTTATTTA